TTTTTTTTTTTTTTTTTCACAAATAAAACGACTCGCTGTTTCCACGTTGTTCGCTCGACGTTCCGCGCCTCGCAGCCACGTCGATTTTACGAACGATACGACGCGTCGAGACCGTGAAAAATTTCCCGATGAACGGAACGACAAGCGTGACGCGTCCGATGGGTGAAACCGGGACGACCTTGACCCATGTTCACGAGCACGCGTCGAGTGGATCCCGGGCTTTCTTCCGTGGCTTGTCCTTCATTATTCATCGAGGGATGCCTGGGTGCCACGAGCGATCGCTCTTCAATTTTCTTTAGCATAAATTTGCATCGGCCGATTACGATCGGTGGCTACCATTAACGCGTCGCATTAGGGATCTTCGAGAAGCCTTCTCCAAATATTAGGTTGTGCGATAAGTAGACTATGGATTTTTATGCATTTATGGAAATCTTTAAAGTAAAAGTGCAGAGAATGCGTATAGTATGAAAGAATGTTTAATATGTAAATTAATTTTTTTTTCTTTTTTTGTCTTTTCCGTTGTATTCTCAATACATACATATATCAATTTGCATAAAAATCCGCAGTCTAGCAAGTTCGTTCGCTCATCAATGGTAGAGTTCGGAGAATAGAATACGTGTAAGAACGTTGCTTACGTCAATTGCAGTAAGCAACACAAAACAGTTAATATAGGTTTGAATATTGAAAGCAATCGTTATGTAACTCTTAGTGAAAGAATTATTTCATTACTATATAAACAGATTTCTTTCATTAGACAAGGAAAATATGGAATTTGCGATATTACGTTTGAAAGTATTTACATATCACACTAATTGTTTCAGTGTTTGGATAATCGTACAATAATTTGAATGTAAAAATATACATTCCGGAATTTCTTGGTACAAAGACAAAATTTTTGGAACGATTATACACAGTAATCATTCGGTCTATTTGCAAATCATGAACGAAAAAAAATACACACATCGATTAAATAGATTTGATTAGAATAGTGATCATTTCTGACACTCTATAATCAGAATTTCGTTTACTTATTATCTATTTACTTCAATTAAAAATTTACCAACTAATGATAACTGTAAATAATTTATATATAATTTTAATAATATATAAATAATTTATATACCTTTCTAATGATATATTGATGAAATATGAATGGCATAATTTTCAAGTTACGTGATGTACAAAGAGTTAAAAAAATTCGAACGAACTTATTACTCGATCTAATAAATTAAACGTTTCTCTACTCTATACTTCCCTATTGCGATTCGTGGATCATCGGTGACTTGCTTTTATTGATTCGCAGCATTAACGATATTCTTTTGATCAAGGTAACCCGACAACGGACAATAAAAAAAACGTAGAGGGGCTCGAAGGAAAGTATCACTGCCAAAATCAATTTCGATAAGACGTGAAGCAATCTTTTCACCTTTGCAAGTTGTAGCAACTTTTGATATACCACTTTACACAATATCGTTAAGCACAACGAAACATCGTTAGTTCACCTCTGTTAAGGATAAACGATATTCTTTTTGATACTTTTTTAATATCGTGAAAACAATGATTTTACATAGATGACACACAGAGACGATGTGACTCAATCTAAAAAGCGATCAATTGAATCGGAGACTCACAATCGGACGAGGAGCAACGTCTCTTTTTGTACAGATGAGTCACGCTTTCACGAAGTCATACGTAGGTAGGTCAGGGCATAATGGACGACAACTCGTGACAATACACACTAGGAATTCAATGCCTTCTGAAATGCCTTCCAAACGTGGTGTTCAACGTGCCGAATTGTATACAATGGAGAACCAGACGGAGACCCGGTGAAGTCTGCCGTCTCTCTCGGTTCTCGCATCGCGTGCGACCGTGCAAGATTACCATTTCTCCGAGCGATTTCCGGCGTAACTTCCGATGACATTCCGCGACAGATTCATTCACCTTGCGACGATGAATTAATCAGAACTGCGCGACAGGCGTCGAATAAGAATTTTTCGAATTTTTCTACCAACT